TGGAGCAATTATAAAAAAGGAAAGAAGAAGAGGCAGAGGCCGGCGTGGTGCCAGTTTCCCCTCCACCACTACTCTAACCCAAAACCCTAAGTGTCTATATGCAAACCTTGTTGGGTGGGCACAGGTACAGGAGGCAAGAGTGGTGCCATCGGGCCACCTATAGCCATGAGTGCCCACCATAAGTTCCTATATGTGAATTTCATGAAAATGTTACGAGTGAATGTCTAAGATGTACAATAAAATTTGGGGCCCAGGTGGTTATGGCAATACAAATGTAATATAATTGCTCTTATAACACGACTGTGCCCCCAGTCTTACTTTACTTTACTTTTAAAAAGATATATAGCTGTACAAAAAAGCAGAAGCACTCAAATCATCTGTTAAATATCTCTTCTCCTTCATTATTCTTAAGTTTTTTTAAATTAAAAATTATTTATTGCATTAATTAGTTTATTTATCTCATACTGACTAAGATGGTATTCCACACACAGCCTGTCTTTCTTCAGAGGGGAACTTTACCCTACCTGCAAACGAATCACAGTGTCTCTCAAAGGTGGGCAGTTTGTCTACATAAGCATCATCTTCTGACAAGCAAAACATCAAATGAAGAGACAAAACGGCAAAACAGATAAAAAGTAAACAATGAGCTCCATCATGTATAAAATTGCAAAAAACAAACAAAAAAAAGATGAGAATATCAACAAACACTAGAATTGGAAAAGATCAGTTTTTGTTCATTAATATTTTATAAATATGTGACAAAACAAATGTTCAGCTTGCTCTATGATTTTTCCGCAGATGCCAAAAATTATTAATTTATTCTGATTATTCATACCTGTGGCTGCCTCCAGAGTTTTTTTTTTTGTGTTTGTTTTTTAAACCTTGACTCAGCCGTGCTACAATCTACTGAGATTTGCAAATATCCACTCATAATTCTGCACTACAGGCTCCTCCAGCGCAGACTCTAAAGTTAGATCAAGAAAAACAAACTGCTGCGTGCAAACTCATTAAAGCACGTGTGCGCTTTAAAATCAACACCCCTGCTTCGTCGTCTCACCTCCCACTCGGAATGTGTGACAGCGTCTGTGTGTCGGCTCGAATCAGACTCTATAACTTCGTCTGATAGTGACTGTGATGGTTTCGTTATTGATAAATAAATATATCAATTCACTCATTYGGTTGAAAAACTGTCACAGTCGTCAACGTAAAAGCAAACACGAATAAATGTGCAGAACATGACTCAATCAACAAAAACCGTAGCAAATGACCAAATTATATCAAATGAATACATGATGAGTAAGAAGAGGAAGGTTTTGCTGCACAGCTCAGTGATGGTTCACACACCTGACACCGACACRCACAGCTCCTTGCCGACGGTGGGCGTGGTGGCGGCGCTCAGAGAGTTGGTAGAAGAGATTGAGGAGGTGCTCTCGGCCCGAGCCAGCGGCGCACTGGGGGGAGGGCTCGCCGAGTGGATCGGCGGGCTGAACGGTCGATTCTAAAAATAAAATAAAAATGTACACAAGATAAGAATGAGAGAAAGAAGAAGCAATGCAGCTGAAGAAATTTATAGTTATTTAT